CTGTGCATTAGCATGGTCCTCATGTAATTTAGGAGCTATGTGGTCCAATGCATGAATTCCTGCTGCTGCTAATACCCCAGCCTGTCGCATGCCACCTCCAAGAACCTTCCGGTGTCGCCAACACCTGCTTGAAGAGGGTGTGGAAAGCAACAGAGTGAAAATTGTGAGGTTAAAACCTCCCGGGGAAACGGCCATGGCCTAATATAAATTAAGTATGTTCTGCTGTGAAGGGCGTGGTTTTCAAGCAACTTAGTCTGGGATTGGGTATAGAAATCAGAGAGTCTGGGGGTAGAATAGGGTATCATTTTCCAGGAAAATGATCAGTTGGTTGAAGATTTTAGATTTAGATTTTTTACTAGGGAAGCTGGTAATTTATTACTCTCAAAAAAATTAAATTGGCAAATGTATTTTAATTTAACCAAAAGTCAGTTTAATAGCAAAGAAAGCGTTGATGACTTCAGTTATTTCTGGAAAATAGCGACTCTAGGATAGGGTGAGATTTTAGGAGTCTGGTATAGGGGTCGATCCCTGGCAGCACCCAAACTTTCCTAAAGATACCTACCCCAGGGTTAAGACCAATGAACTTCATATCAAAACATACACTGGTACAAACACTCGACGAGAAGTGAAAAGGGAAGGGAAATCCCCACTTGTGTAAAGACAACAAAATACTACAATGAAACGGTCTTTAAAACAATATAATGGAGAGATGTTCAGACATCTGACCTTGATATGAACTCTTTGTCTCCAGCAACTATTGATCCCACCGGGGCACCAAGAGCCTAAAAACATTTGATTTGTCAGAATGACACATTCTAACAGATAGAAATGAAAGTTGCATAAAAGTTCTGCACATATCTTAAAAATTGTTAAGACAGAATCCATTAGGAAATTGAGTAATTTCCATTTTCAGTGGACAAAAAATCTTGTACCAGAATAATTTAGGCACTATTGCATTCTTTTTTACATTTTTCAAGGGCTATAGATATAATTAGTTATCTGTAATAACACCAAAGACTATTTCTCATCATGGGAAACCCAAGAAAATAAATGTCAGATTTCACAAGAATTGTGAAAACACAGGTAAAATTCCGACAATTTCATGTGTAAGGTGTCATTTTGTGAAATTTGACATTTTTTTCTCGGGCTCTAATAAGAAATGTCTTTGGTGTTATTACAGATAACTAATTACATCTATAACCCTTGAAAAATGTAAAAAGGAATGCGATGATGCGGCTTAAAATATTCTGGTACAAGGTTTTTGTCCACTGAAAAATATGAAAATTACTCAATTTAATTCCTAATGGATAATTTCCGTCATCTTAAGATGCACTTTTTCTAACAATTGGTACAGAAAGGCAAATGTTAAGCTAACAGGTTTGTTGTGTATAGTCATATCAAAGCAACCTTAATTTCCAAGATGTAAAGCTACTAACTGAACAACTAGCCTGCAAAGCAGGCGTATTTTGGGGCGAGATCCATGAATTGTTTTCAGGATAACGTTGTCCCGCCATCTTGGACGTTAATACTACTTGGTTGCTTTTCAAGATGGCGGCCACGATCAAAGTACCTCCGAGTTTTCGTTAAAAAACGTAAAAAACGCCTGCTCTGCAGGCTACTGAACAACATTATTCTCTAAAAGCTGTTTTCCTGAGCTAAGAGGCAGTCCAGTCTTGTGTGTAACAATTCTTTTGTTTAGACCTTTTATAATGAAATTAAAGGGGGTTTGATAATTATAGCTTTAGCAAGGCTAAAAGTAAAGCTCTCGTTAATAAACTTATAGTATACTCAAACAAGAAATAAAATAGTTTAATGATAAATGGCGACAATAATGAGAACGGCGTAAAAAATCAATAGGTTTAATTACCAAAAGAAAAACAACTTTGCACATACAGCATACTTTTTTTGTACACATCCTCACTGCCACTGTTTTATGCAACACGTCTACAATGTGAAACTTCCAGAAATATGATACATGTTTTATTTAGAAAATGTTGGATGCGTTCCTGTCTGCTTTTTTTCACTGCCCCATTCTCCGTTCAACGAAAACTCCTTTGTTCTTCTTTATCTCATGCTATTGCTCTTTCTCTGTTAACCATGTCAGTGTAGATGTTACAAGTCAAATTTGATTTCAGTTTAAAATTATACTTAACCTAGGTCAATTATCAATTTCCTTTGTCTCCTAGGGTTGGGAGACAAAAGAAACTGAGAATCAACCTACGTTAAATCAAACTTAACCTAAAATCAAATTTGACCTGTAACATAGACATTAAAATTTAGTTGAAAAAAAGACTAGGCTTTGCTGTTGTCTCCAAAAGTCTGGGTGGCCATGTGATTTACTGCCAAAAATAAAAGGGTGCTTGAAATGAGCATTTCACCCTCCCTTACATGAAGGGGTAGACATGTGCGGATGGGCAGACTATTTTCTCAGAACCAAAATGTCTTTGGCCTCAGTGGATAACACCCTCCTCGAGCTGCTTAATTCTTCATATCCTACTCAGCCTCATAAATTCCTGCTGCTGCTAATACCCCAGCCTGTCGCATGCCACCTCCAAGAACCTTCCGGTGTCGCCAACACCTGCTTGAAGAGGGTGTGGAAAGCAACAGAGTGAAAATTGTGAAAACCTCCCGGGGAAACTGCCATATTTGGCATAATATAAAATAAGTATGTTCTGCTGTGAACGGTGTGGTTTTCAAGCAACTTACCGGTAGTCTGGGATAGGGTATAGAAATCAGAGAGTCTGGTGGTAGATTTAGATTTTTTACTAGGGAAACTGGTAATTTATTGCTCGCAAAAAAATGAAATTGGCAAAATGTATTTTAATTTAACCAGAAGTCAGCTTAATAGCAAAGAAAGTGTTGACGACTTCAGTTGTTTCTGGAAAATGGCAACTCTAGGATAGGGTGAGATTTTAGGAGTCTGGTATAGGGGTCAATCCCTGGCAGCACCCAAACTTTCTTAAAGATGCCTACCCCAGGATTAAGACCAATCCTGGGGGGGGGGGCACTTGGGAATATTTTGGGTGGGTATGTGCCGCCCGGGACTCCAAACTGGCACCCGGTTCTAAAAAACATTTCCCCTAAAATTGATATCCCCTTCTAGAAATGGGCCAATTTTTTATACCTCGTTCTAGAATTCGCCCTAAAACTGATACCCCGTTCTAGAAATAGGCCAATTTTTTTATCCTCCGTTCTAGGGTGCGACAAGAGTACAACAGTTTGCTTGTTAACGCATTGAACCATATTTTTAAAAGCAATCTGTCCTTGAATAATTTCAAATGGCTGCTGACAAAACTGGAGCTTTCGTGCGTTCGAAATATTATACCCCGTTCTAGAAAACGCCTCTGAAATGGATACCCCGTTCTAAATCAGGAGCTTCCAGATCACCCCCCTGTTGGGCGGCACATACCCGTATGGGTAATGTATGGGAGTACCTCCCCCCACCCCCGGGAGACCAATGGACTTCATATCAAAACATACACTGGTACAAACACTCGATGGGAAGTGAAAAGGGAGGGGAATGTAAAGACAACAAAATACTACAATGAAACAGTTAAAACAATGGAGAGATGTTTAGACACCTGACCTTGATATGAACTCTTTGTCTCCAGCAACTATTGATCCTACCGGGGCACCAAGAGCCTAAAAACATTTTGTTTGTCAGAATGACACATTCTAATAGATAGAAATGAAAGTTGCATAAAAGTTCTGCACATATCTTAAAAATTGTTGAGACGGAATCCATTAGGAATCGAAATTGAGTAATTTCAATTTTCAGTGGACAAAAACTCTTGTACCAGAATAATTTAGGCAATATTATCGCATTCTTTTTTACATTTCTTAAGGGCTATAGATATAATTAGTTATCTGTAATAACACCAAAGACTATTTCTAATGGGAACCCGAGAAAATAAATGTCAAATATTTTCACAAGAATTGTGAAAACACAGGTAAAATTCCCAAAATTTCATGTGTAAGGTGTCAATTTGTGAAACTTGACATTTTTTTCTCAGGCCCTCATAAGACATTTTCTTTGGTGTTATTACAGATAACTAATTACATCTATAGCCCTTGAAAGATGTACTGCTAATTGAACAACATTATTCTCTAAAGGCTGTTTTCCTGAGCTAAGAGGCAGTCTTCCTATGTTGAGAGCCAGTACAGCTATGGGTATGATTGTACTATAGCTGCCTGTACACAGACGGGTCTACAGTATTGGGAATCAGCTGAGATTAAATAGGAAAAATTGTTTTATAAGAATTTCCTGTACTTTCCACACGTGTGCAACTAAAAAAAAACAAACTTTTGACTTTTTGGACTGATGGTCACTTTTACGGCAATATAATTGTACCCCCGGGTAACCCCCAGGAGTGCTTGCTCACATGCTATCATATTGTGAACAAAATTATTCATACAAGCAAATATGTTTTTATCCATTTCCATCCCTTGCAGCCATTTTTGTTTCGTCATGCAACGCTCATGGACAAGAAATTGCTGAGAGGGAGACTTACCCCAGTCTTGTGTGTAACATTCTTTTGTTCAGACCTTTTATAATGAAATTAAAGGGGGCTTGATAATTATAGATTTAGCCAGGGCTAAAAGCGAAGCTCTCGTTAAATCATATACTTATAGTATACTCAAACAAAAAATAAAATAGTTTAATGATAAATGGCGACAATAAGGAGAACGGCATAAAAAATCAATAGGTTTAATTACCAAAAGAAAAACAACTTTGCACATACAGCATACTTTTTGTACATATCCTTATTGCCACTGTTTTGTGCAACACGTCTAAAATGTGAAACTTCCAGAAATATGATACATGTTTTATTTAGAAAATGTTGGATGTGTTCCTGTCCGCTTTTTTTCACTGCCCCGTTCTCCGTCCAACGAAAACTCCTTTGTTCTTCTTTATCTCACGCTCTTGCTCTTTCTCTGTTAACCATGTCAGTGTAGATGTTACAGGTCAAATTTGATTTCAGTTTAAAATTACTTAACATAGGTCAATTATCAATTTCCTTTGTCTCCTAGGGTTGGGAGACAAAGGAAACTGAGAATCAACCTACGTTAAATCAAACTTAACCTTATCAAATTTGACCCGTAACATAGACATTAAAATTTAGTTGAAAAAAAGACTAGGCTTTGCTGCTATCTCAAAAAGTCCGGGTGGCCACGTGATTTACTGCCAAAAATGAAAGGGTGCTTGAAATGAGAATTTCACACTCCCTTACATGAAGGGGTAGACATATGTGCTGATGGGCAGACTATTTTCTCAGAACCAAAATGTCTTTGGCCTCAGTGGATAACACCCTCCTCGAGCTGCTTAATTCTTCATATCCTACTCAGCCTCATCTATTAATTGCTAAATAATAATATAATAATAATAATAATACTTGTTACTACCCATGGTGCTCTGCTGCGCAAGCGTTGCGCATGCAAGAGCTCCACTATAATAGTGATACATGTAACATCATTACCTTTGAAAGACAAAAGGTAACTGAATCAACATGCTGGGTGACCTGTCCAACAGGGACACCAAGAGCAGTGGCAGCATTGAATAGTCTTGCTCCATCCATATGCACCCTCAATCCAAGTTTGACAGCTAACTCTTTAACCTGAAGAATATAATAACTAGATGTTAATTTATAATCGATGCACCAGAGGTGCTCTGCACTTCATCTCTAGCAATGGTGGTAACATCAAACCTGTGAATAAGCTTCATGAATAATTAGGGCTACGAGACGTAGAAAATTAGAATCAACCTAAGTTAAATAATTTTAACCTGAATTTAATTTTGAGCTGTAACAAATACATTCGAGAGAGATTCTCTCCCCAGCTCATCTTTGTGGTTGATAACTCTTGTCGGTGCATACTGTTACATCTTAGAGGGGACGTGTCACAAAATGTATCACAATTCAAACAGTTGGGACTGCCTAGAATTAATTGAGCGAAACATCAAAATAACTGCTCAAACCATTCAAACAAGGTGTAAATAACACAGTCCAGACAAAAGAAGGTATGGATGGCCAAGAATGAAACAGATTTCAATGGTGGTTTTTGAAAACTTGTTAGCCTACGTGCAGTTTTCCAAAGTTCATGTTTTTTGTCTTTAACATTAATATTTGATATACTGTAACATTTAGGAGAAATATTTGTTTGACGTGAAGCAGGGATCAATCTTGTCCTTTGCAAGTAATTTCTTTGTTAAAGATTAAAGTTCTTGCAAATAAGGACATGTTATTGGCAATATTAACAAAACAAACTAGACAGCCATGACGATAGTACAGCACCTTTAATTGACAGGCCCACTGAGAGGCAATAAGGTTCCTAAAAAATTTACCCTTTGAAGATATTCTAATGACAACACTCTGCCACCAGTTCCATTATGTGTTTGTTCAACACATATTAAGCGACTGATTGGTTGATGAGCATCCTCTCTTGATCTGACTTTGCTTTCTATCTCTAATAAGTCTAACGTCCCATCAGGATTGGTGTGCACTTGGCGAGGGTGTACTCCAGCAATCTGTGAAATAATAAACCAATAACATTATCAATAATAGTCAGTTAAATAGTTGATTACTGGGTAAATGACAAAATTTTTATTATTGATATTCAGTATCATATAATTTATTATTATTTTATGAATGAATGAATGATAACTTTACTTAAACATGGTTAAAAACATCAGTCTAACATAGAAAATTAATTAAAAATTCTCAAAAACTGTTTTACATATTATTTATCTTTTACGATTGAGCAAAAATGCAAAGCTGGCTAATGTCTTGTTATAATGAGTACTAGCACTGCTCAATTTTGAGATCAAGATTTACACTATGTCCAGTTATACAGGATATTACTAGGCCGTGCGTAGATACAAAATTTCTCTTCAAGTTTTGAAGAAGATTTCACGAGTGAGTGAAGTTCTATTTAATAATATAAACAACAATAAAGTAACCAATATATATATAAATTTTTTTTTTATTCACTGAGACATTTATTACTCTAGTTACAAAGAACTAATTTAAAAAGAAACTAATTACAATATTCTAGACAACTGAAATAACAGCCATACTTACAAGTAACCAATATGATATAATAAAACAGAATAACCTGTGCAACGCCACCTTGTTCCCAAATAGTAATGTGAGCAATATCACCAACAAATAGTTCATCTCCTCTACCAGAACAGTGAGCCATCACTGACAGAAACAAAAATAATAATGAAGATTTGCAGAATTTCTACTAAATCTCCTTATGACCATGGTATGTTGAGTCACTCCAGTTTGGGCATGCAAATGGAGATTTCATTAAACAAGGACTGGAAAAATTCTCCTTAAGGCTGGGCTTCATTATATCAGGGTCCAGCCATAAATTTCTCCAGCATCATTCGCTGAGACAAGATATGTTCTTATTCAGGGTTGCCACTCATCAGAAAGGTAAAAATTCCCTGACTTTCCCCTGACTTTTCACTGACCTTTTACATGTATTAATGAGAAACAATCCATGTTTACATTCACTTTAGCTTTTTCGCAAGCCATCAATAGTTTTCTCTTCATTTTCAACCTCTTTCCGCAAAGAAGGAATTAGGAAGAAAGCATTCACTGCTGACTGACTGACTTGCTTTGCTTGCTTTGCAGCATACGTTTTGCCTTTTCCGAAAGAAAATGCATTTCAAAATCTTGAATCAACTTATGAACTATAAACCAGAAAACAGAAATCCCTGTCTTTTCACTGACTTTGACAATATGAAAGATTTTCCCTGACTTTTTAAAAAATTTCCTGACTTTTCCCTGATGGTGGCAACCCTGTTTTTTAAATTGTTTTATATCAGTGAGGGTTTCGCTGATTGGTGAATGAGTTGACCAAGACTGCATATAACCTGATAATAAAATTAATCTTGATTTTCTCATGGCTGGGCTAAACTTTTCTGGTATGTAAAGAGCAACTTTTCAAGGTACATTAAAAATCGAATGTTTGGAAACTGCCTTTGAAATATTCTGTCATACACTGACAGGTTTAGAAAAAGTTTATTCTAGAATACTGACCTGACACTAAATTTCCCATTGTCCCACTTGTTACAAAGAGGGCTGCTTCTTTTCCAGTTAACTCTGCTGCTTTAGCTTGCAAAGCTATAAATATATGAGTATAAAAGTATAAGCACAGGATTTTAATATGTGCACACTTATTAACAGAATCAAGAGGAGACTGATTGCTAAATCTGAAAAACATTTCTCAATGCAAAAAAAAGTTATGGGACAGCTGGATCAGCTAACTGACAATTAATTTGAATAAACTACTAGAATTAGCCTAAAATGATCAACGGCAAGTAATCAATTTAGTGTTAAAATATAATCTGTTTGCCAACAACATACGATTAGTTTGTGATTTACAAGTATGCAAATTGATGTGACTTAAATAATCAGCATGTCACGAGCGTGGGACAAAGAAAACATCTGACAGGATTCGAACCTAGGACCTCCAAAACAGACCAGCACTCTATCCACTTGAGCTACGAAGAACTCATGGAGAGCGAGGCCATATACTAGGTTCATATTTGACATGTGCCCTGCATACTGCTAGGATCAGCAATGTCGATGTCGCACTGTGTGGTGAAAGAAATGAAAGAAGGTAAATTTTAAGCTCGGTGAAACAAATGTGAAAATGAAACAATCAGCATGTCACAAACACGGGACAAAGAAAAAATAATAAATTCATATCAATGAGATTAATATTCACTAAAAAGTCAGTGTAGAGACTTAAGCCCCATTCACAGGATAGGTGATGGTAGGCTGGTAACACTCCTAAAAAGGCAAATAGTGGTCAACATTTTTGGGCAACAGATTGGGTGTAAGTAGTTAACTTCTAGTGGAATAATTCAATGAAAACATCGGTGGAACAACAGTATCAAAAGCAAAGGAATTGATTCTCCTGCAACAAATTTTTCATGGTCCTTCATTAGTTTGCAAAAGTGCAGCTGTAAAATTGTCAATTGTTTTACACCGTTTCATGGAACTGTGTAAATCAATTGATAATTTTACAAACGCTGACTGCTCCGAGCAAGAAAGTGTTGAAGAAGATATAGTGGATGTCCTTACTGATGACAAATAACAACTTGTCCCCATCAGCTGTCAAGGTGTTTCTCTGTGCATTGTTATCTTGATTTATTGAAAAAAAGTATTTAAGACTTAACCTAAGCTTTCTACTAAAAGAACTAATTCCTCGACCATCTTGTGGTTCCTGTCACGATGAGCTATCTAATTGCACTGTTGCTTGTAACCTATCAGTATGTGGGAAGTGCAGGGCTCAGAAGGTTCTATTGTTTTTTTTGACTAATTGGACAAAAATCAAGATTCTCAACTATGGGCAGACGAAGGAAGTAAATCAAAATGTATCAACAAGGTCTGGAAGGGGGGATGCTGATCCTTCATTTCTGCTCTTTTTTCAGGAAAATCTCTTATCCTGCACTTTTTTCATTGCTGTCCTAAATCCTGTTTTTTGTTTCCAAAACATTAAAGTCAAAAAATACTAATTGCTGCAAAAGCTAATAAATGTGAGATGCAGATTGGCCCCTTTGATTGATTATTTTGAACTTATGCATACTGGTATTTTAAGACCATTGCAAAAACGAAACAGCCTTTCATACTGCAGTCTGCTGAAGCAGGGTGGGGGAAGTGGAATAAAACAAGAAGGAGACACCACACCCGGCGGGGGGGTACTTTAGGACTTTTTGGGTGGGGATGTGCCGCTGGGACCCTGCAACCCTTAGCCTATACCAGAGCTAATTCAAGTGAATTTTGCTACCCTATACTAGACTAAACTCCCCAAATCCCCCCCTATACTAGAGTAACTGTTTTCCAGAAACAACTGAGGTCACTAGCACAGTCCGGCCAAAACAAAACCGCTTTGACTTTTTTGATATTCTTGAGTGGCAATTCCCGGTTTCCCTAGTCTAGACTAAAATCTTCAGCCAATAGATGGTTTTCAATGTGACGTCATCAAATTGTAAAGTCAAAATGGCGAGTTTTTACGAAGTCTTATTTACACTAGGTTGAAAATAAACAAAAAATAAATCTTTGTACAAGTTTCCAGTCCTCTAGCATGTTTCATTTCGAAAATACAGCAATTTGAACTTCCGAGTTTTCACAGTGCGTGACACCAAAATAGGAATGCTGTCTTGTTGAAAAAAAAGTCTGTCCTCTTGATTTTCAGCAGTATAACCATTTAAAGTATTAGAAGGTATGTTTATGTGCACGTATGCCAGTTCTTGAGTGAAAAGAAAGAGCTTTTATAGAAAAAGTGAACTCCAGATTTTTTTGTTGATTTCCGGCGGCCATATTGGTGCACCAAAACAGTGCACCAATATGGCGTCTCCATACAAAGCTCTACAAAGGTGCGTGAAACGTTTTGGGCAAATAATTCAGAAACTGTGGGCCACAAAGACCTTAGACTTGGACAAATTGTTTATATATTAGTCTTCTATAACATTTCATTTACTTGGCTTCTTCCACTGGACGGTTTCCAATTTATTTTTTTGTTGCGTGACAGTGAAAACGATCTATTGATCAGTTTATTGTTAATGAAAAATGATACCCTCTTCTAGACCCAGAATCTCTGATTTATATACCCTATCCCAGTGCAAACTGCTTGAAAACCATACCCTTCACAGTGACACATACCTATATTGCTCATATATGGCAGTACCTCCCCCCGCACCCCCGGGACACCACACTGAACCCCTGCCTGTCTGTTTTCGACAGACATGCAAAAAGAAATCCCGCATCCCGTGCCCAAATTTTGATGAATCCCGCTTCCCGGGTCGCAGTCAGATCCTGTTGCCCGTCAAGACATTTTGTGTTTTCCCGAATCCCGCACCGCATTTTAGTCAAATCCCGAATCCTGAAAATACCTTCCAGACCCTATATCAAGCGTCTCTTTTCCCCTCGCCTCCAGAACAAAAAGGGAAGAAAAGGGCCGCCTGTTCGCAGGTTATGTATGCTAATGAGTTTAAAACGAAGGAACGTAAAATTTAAACCAAGGATAAAACTGAACCACAACATGTTAATACCGCAAATATGCTAGTAAAACAAATTCTAACCATTGACGGTTGGATCGTCTCCATAAACATCGTCACCAACTTCAGCAGCCGCCATCGCAGCTCTCATTTCTTCAGTGGGCACAGTAACAGTGTCGCTTCTCAAATCGATCACACGACCCTCCATTTTCTTATCATCGAAAACTCCTCCACTCGTGTACAAGCTGGCAAGGTATCTTAGCCTCGAAACTGCAGATACTTTAGGGAATAATTGTAAAGCAAGTTTTTTCCCGCTCAAAAGGGACAACATGGTGGGCGAGCTGTCCTTAGAATCTGTCACGCAACCACAGGCCAACCAGGCATCGTGATGTCACACGCGACAAGTGATCCGTCTACTGTTCCAGGCGTTCAGATAGTAGACGTAGTAGAGTGCGAGAGAAAAATTAACGAAGAAAAAAAGAAAAAGAAAACGCGGAATTTTGCACCTTTTAATCCCAAATGTTGAGTCAATAGCGTACGTTTTTAGTGTCATGTTCACTAGACTGCGAGCAGTCTCTCTTTTTCTTCAGATTTAGTGAGAGCAATGCACGCGCGGGAGCGGCGAAGCCGCAAGACGCGCGAAACGAGGGCGCGTGACCATTTGCGTGTCTCGCGTTTTGCTCGACGGACTACAGAAAAAAGAGGGACTGCTCGTAGTCTACATGTTTACCGCCGGCTTTTTATAATCGCGGGTGTCAGTCTCAGCAACAAACCGTCCGTTCCATTTGATTTTTAACCGAGAAGCCCCTGGGAACGAAGTTGGGCGAGATCAGCTCTCCAGCTCTGCGTCTTTTCTCTGCGTCAGAGTACGAGCAGTCTCTCTTTTTTCTAAGTCCGTCGAGCGAAACGCGCCAGACACGCAAATAATCACGCACGCGACTAAAAACGCCGCCCTCTTTGCGAGAAACGGGGGGGGGGGGATTTTTTGTTGCGACAATGGAGCGCTTTCGTGATCCCCCCTTAAAGCATGCAGTGTGATTTTATCCCCTCACATTGGCGGTGGAAGATTTCATGATCCCCCCTCTTCTATTATTACGGGGATACTTTTCAATGACTCTAAAGAATTTAAAACATACGTATTAAAACATGGAACTTTGTGGACTTTTAAACTATAACCACAAAGGACTGCAAAGGACCGCGAACGAATATGCCGAACGTAGGATCTATAAAGATCTGATCAGCAAAAATAACAAGTAGAAATGTTAAATTCTGCAAGCAGAATACTGCAATGCTGAGTAATGATGTTTTCTGTTGGTGTGCCGCAGGGATTGCCCATTTGTCAGTTCTCCATTTTTAAAAAAGAGCGGGAAACGTAAATTCCTTCATCAACATTCGAAACTCAAATGACGTCATTTCTTAAAAAAATGTGCAACACTCTCGTTATCAATCGCCTGGACAGTAGAACGTCTGAGGACAGTGCCCTAAATTTTTTTTATTACGATTTCTTCTTGATCCAGTAAAATACGAAATTTTGAAAACTGAACGCAAGATCTTGAATAATGAACCATCACTTTTTATTTATAAACATCTATCGCCGGGAAACTCCCTTTCGTGGTTTGGGAGGAAGGGAAAATACCCTTAACCTCTATCGATCACGGCGGCAACTTTTACTTGAAATCACGGCTATTGCATCAGAAAACTGGTCAATCCGAGGAAAGGCCGATTTCCTTGATTTTTTCTGTCCAAAATTCAACCTGGGACCCGTTTCTCGAAAGTCCCGATAATTAACGGGCCAGGTAAGCTGTCTCCGTTTACATTAAAGATCGAGGTTTCAATAGTTTTGCATCTAACATGATAAAACTGTCAGTTAATGAAACAAAATGGAGTAGTTTGCTGGCCTGGGCCCGCGCTCTTATTGTTTATATTTCGATTTGAATATTTGATTTCGGGCCCGTAAAGTTACCGGGACTTTCGAGAAACGGGCCCCTGGAGTCCTTAGAAAGCTAGAGTAACTATAAGTAAGCGACCAGAGGAATTTTTTTAGTGGATCACCCTAGCGGCGCATTTTAAATAGCTTGATTTTTTGCTAAAAACATGTTATAGCCTGACCCTAGAATTATATTAGTTTGTCAAGGTCGCCTTGTAGGTTTTGTTGCTCGTTTGGAATAGAGCAGGAAACATAAATTGCAATATCAACTTTTCTGCAATGAAAAAATCGGAAACAAGTCTATTCCTTTGCAATTATTTAAGAAAATGCACCACGATTTCGAGATCGAAGCGACCCCATATAGAGATTCTCGCCCTCTTCTCGCCGATCAAGCAACAAATTGTTGCATCACCAACATGCAAGAATTATTTCGTAGCGCATTTGTATCGCAGGGAAATATCCCTTCGCTATGGATTGGATAGTATTTTTAGTTTTTTTAGAGAACGGGGAATTACCCTTAGCCTCTGTCCAATCAAATTTTGGAAGCCTGGTTATGATTGGTCAGAATCGAAAGCAAAGATGACGTCATGAAGCCTATAAAGTCTCACACACGACGGCGGGCAATTTAAAATCGTCAAATTGTCTTCAGTTATATGCGAGGATAGATCGACTGCTAGGTCATTCATCCTTCTTCTACAGAATTTAAACTTTTTGTTTGCTGGTCTGTCCTAGGAAGCCCAGGGAAGCTAGCGCTAAGCAAGCGGGACGACAAATAAGAGAAATCGGTAAGTGAACGTAAACAATAAGAGGTGTGTTCTGTCAATCGTAGGCTGCCATCTGAGACCTTTTCACAGTGGGTTTCTTGATACACAGGATTTTCAATCAATTTTGAGGCCTTGGGAGTTCACTTTAACTTTCTCTTGTAACAGTCAGATCTATGTCGATGACACTTCACGGATTTATAATATATTGAATGTATTACATGGTGAGTGTCCTGAATCTTTAACCATGTTGTTTTTATTTGTTTCTTTTCCTAGAACAGTGATCACCTTATAAAGTCTATAAACAGTGGGCTCACTATTTCCACTACAGTGTATAAGGTAACTTTGAATACTTTACTGACCTTTTTTCTCATTCATTTACCTTAAGAGAGAGTAATGACCGTATTGCATTGAACTTCTGGGAAATTGTCAAAATTGTAGCCCTCGCATGAAACTTCATAATCAAGTTCCCTTGATCGTTTCTCTCGCCGTTTCTATGTTGAGGACAACAGAAGATGCAACCTTCGTTAGCGAAAATTTGGCATAATTTGATCGATAACTGCATTTCGTTTATTGTCAACTTATAAGACTTATAAGTGATAGCTTTTTGTATAAGAGCCATATTAGCTTGATGTTTTGAAAAGCCAAGCCAGGCTCACCACTGCTTAATTCTCGGAAACTGAACACGACTTAATTTTCTCAGAAGTCACGCTAGACTAACTTCCGTCACACCACGTCCTTACCATACGGCCCATAGCTAGGCCTTGATCTTATTGTGGGGGCTTCAATTATATGGGCTCCTGGTGTAACTGAGAAAACAACAGCTACCAGCAAGCTTTATTCGTATCCTTTTCTCAGTTTAACACTAGTCTTTCTTCTTCCGTGTTTCCTCACAACAGGAGCCCGTTGGAAAAAGAAATGGCAAAGAGGTCTCGGCTCCCGCCCTTTCTCTCTTTCCATCTTCCCCGCACGCTCACTTTTTTTAGTTATTTCTATTTTATTGAACTATCGAGCGGGAGTCTCTGAGGACGAGAGAGAGGCAGAGAGAAAGTGTTCGATTTCAAAGTCTTCATCGTAATTAAAATTACTTGGCTGTCTGATTTAGAATGGTACTTTTAGGGGTAAAATAGAGCTTGAGCCGATCCCAGATTTGTCTCCTTTAGTGGTTTTAACTTCCTAAACTTCCGACGAGCATCTCTGTCCATTTCACAGGAAAAAATCGAACTTCCCTCCGACCGGGATATTGATATTGGGACTGATTTAAGGATGAGTAATCGCTAGAAACTTTCTTTCGCATGTCCTAGTGATCTCGTCTCTTTTCCCCTGTTTTACTAATATAAAAACGTGACACTGGTAGTATAAAGAAAAATATCCTACAGCAAAGAACTATTCGATTCACACGGTGGATATTTTAATTTGATTTGATATTGTTTCAGTTTGCTATGGCCTCTAACGTTTGTACCAGGCTCTTGCAAAAAAGATGGAGACCCTACGAGGTAGAGAATATTCCTCGCATTGAAGGAATTTATGTGATAGGCATTTCCAGACTATCAGAGGAACCTAAAGTGATCTACGTCGGTCGATCAAATGATGTCCACCGACGGATGGTCGAACACCAACGGCAACAACTTGCCATTGATGAATTTATAAAAGAAGAGTTTGAAGACAATGATGGGGAGGATTTACGAGTCAAGTGGATAACGGAACATAATCAAGAAATAAAGGAAATGGAGTACATTTATTGCATTGCTGAAAAAGTGGGATATTGGCCCAAGTATAACATCAAGCGTTGAGCTGCCCTGAATTCTGATTGGACAGAGTGCGTATATAGAGTAGAGAACTTCGTTATAAATCAATTTATCGCTCAGTAGTACTATTAAGACGGTGTTTGAAGTTAGATTTAATGAAAGTATATGGCTTTGTTTTTTTTTCAAAATCAAAGTAATTGATCTTTATGAAGTGGAAGCAAACGAATTTTCTTTTCTATACTTCCTGGTTAGTGTTTTTAATCTATAAATACTAAATGGTGATGACAAGAGAGATTGAGAGAATCTCTGTTCCCCATATGATAATTACCGTATTTATTCGATTAACCGCCCTGGGCGCTTATTAAATTTTTGGACCTTGAGAGTGGGCGCTTATTCGAGGTGGGCGCTTGTTCGAGGCTGGGCGCTTATCAAAATTTCACTATTTTCAGCAAGTGAAGTATGTTTATTTTGCAACAAAACAATAAATGCTAATAACAAAACGCGGAGAAGTAACAAAGAAAGGTTTCTGTATAACACTCTGAAGAAAACTCCGTCCTCCGGGAAGTCTCTTATTAGAATTTATTCACTCAAGTGGGTGGGGTGGGGGTGAGCGCTTATTTGAGTTTGATTGGGAGGAGGAGGGAGTGGACGCTTATTCGAGGCTGGGCGCTTATTAACTTTTTCTGCCTTTAGGATGGGTGCTTATTCGAGGTGGGCGCTAATTCGAGGTTGGGCGCTTATTCGAATAAATACGGTATTTGAAATCTATTTAAAGCTTGGGCCACAGGCACCCCAAGCTCACGAGTGAGAATCGTGGTTGCGTAACGGTTGTATGGAGATTTAAGCGATCGTTATTTTGGGGTCATAAAAATACATAAGAATTCTTCACCTTGTCTCCTTGTGTTAATTTATGGTGTTTTCTTAGCATTTTTGGCCGTTTCAGGGCGATTCCAGCGAGTTTTAGTTCTGCCGTTGTTCGTTATTTCTATATTATATCATAACGAAAGAAAAAAATAAAAAAATTGAAAAACAACAACAACAAAAAAAATGTGCCGAACTTAATACCTATTTGAGTACTCCCAAATGATTATGTTACATGTGCCGGGGTAAGACTAATCTGTGGAACTGCAGACGGCGGAACCACGGAACCGGCAGAACCTACGGAACCTAAAATGACTGTTTTTGTTGCAACTTCCTTTGGTTCAACCTCGTCCCCAGGGCGCTTTTCCCTGGCTTTTCCCAAAGCCAGGGAAAAGCGCCCTGGGGACGAGGTTGCCTTTGGTTAACGTGATAAAATAAATAGTTACAATCAATTAGTATATGTAACAGGACGTTACATATAATAGGACTACATGCTGTCCAATTTGCAAATAATTGGATGAAAAAATTCCGAGGGCGGCGAAAATCGGACGAGGCCGTAGGCCGAGTCCAATTTAGCTGTCAGGGGAATTTTTTGAATTAAAAAAATAATATGCTTTATTATAACCATTATTTCTAAAGCGACTCTGCTATCAGGGTAGTCTATAAAAGCTTGCAATTGCTTTAATAACGCCCCCAAATGCAGCCATCGTGCTTATACTCAACTGGCGCGTTCTCAGAGGATCTCAGAGTAGCATAAATTTGAGATCATTGGTCATTTACAACGGGTGGTACATAGTACACATGAGTTTTGCAGTAAATCATTAACGAAATATGACACTAAAGTGTCCTGCCGCTAAGTTCCCATATAAACGCACATTTGATCACCTTGTCTGACGAAAATATTGGAATCATGCTATTAAAAGGCCTTAAAAACAGGTTTTGTAGAAAATAATTAAAGGCCAATCAATCCCTTTGTCAGTTGACAGTAAACTCCAAGGCAAATGTCAGTTGTCAGTCAAATTTTAGGCGATTTTTCCAGTTTTCAGTTAACCCCTTCCAGACCCTCTTATTTAGCGTCCGTTCATTTTTTATGGGGTAGGGGAAAGGATGGTTGGATTTGACGGGTAGCTCCTGTAGAATATGATGACACCTCCTCTTCATCAGAAATTCTTTTCGGGTGCCCCCGCCCCTTGAATTAAAAAAAAAAGTTAAATTAGGACTGCTGAACTTAAATCAAATAGAAGTTTTGAATGGCCATAAGTAGAGAACAGACATGGTCAGTATAGCTGACGTTGCAATGGGATCTCGGTTTTTAACAATGAGAACCTCAAGAGAAACTCAATATTTGAAGCTTCCAAAGCTAGTAAACTTAGTTATTTATACACAAAATACTTACTGTATTGGATGGTATACCAAGTGAGGACGGCCACGTTGTTTGTAAAATTATGGCGAGCAAATGTACGATAATATAAGTAGCTGTACAGTGATCCCTAATGCCAGATTTTTTAGCTCTATTACTTTGAAACGGTCTATGCCTTCCCCGGGGATAGAAGGACCGGCCAATCAACGTCAATCGACAGTCTCAAAACATCAGACACTCAGCCTACACTACTACTTAAAGTATAGCGTAGCAATGATGTTTGAACACTAAACACATTCCATTTTTTTTTGGAAGGATGGATTATTTTTTTCGCAATGATACGTTCGAGTTGGTATGTTTTTTTTTATTACTTTTTGTTTTACATTTTAGTGGGGTAGAATTGCTGTCACTGCAAAACTTGAAAGAATTTCTTTGGTGACCCCCCTTTACACCTTATATTTTTTTCCCACCTAATTTTCGCCCCATGTAATGTAATCCGGAATCCGGAATCCAGGTAATTTTGGTCTGTGGAATCCGGAATCCACGGCTTTGGAATCCGGAATCCAGCTAATGGAATCCGGAATCCAAGCATTGTAATCCAGAATCCAGGTTGCTGGAATCCACTCTGTTGTGATGGTTCCAGGGCCTCTTCTTTTCCTTTAGCGACTGTTGCGTGAAAATCTCATGTCGCAAGGACGCGCAACAGGCATGTTCACGCGTGTTTCACTCGCAGGAACAGCCCTTGTCATTGTGACATATCGGGTATCAATTTGAAACAATGGTCACATGACGTGACAGAATCCCAGGGAGTGATTCATATTACTGTATATTATCGCTCTTTATAAGACACCCTTTCGACCTTTTTCCCCGTTGCGCTTTTGGAGTCGGAGGTTAAGATTCTTTTCCTGTTTGGGCGCAATTGGAACTAATTTGTGGATTTCAGGTAACGTCAAAAGAATAATAATATAAAGTATCCTTATTCTTGGCCGTAGTATCAGTAGTCGCGGTGGTTGCAGTTACTGGCTTCTTTCAGGCACATGTCATCAGTGTCACTCAAAGAATGACATGCTGCACGTGGTGTCGACGTGGTGTCTTTCATTTAGTCCAGATTCAATCAGTCGAAATCAGACATCTCGAGAGATCACTTTGAATTTTTTTCTCAATCGATCGTTATCAATCTTTGTCAGCATGGGGAAGCACAAGAAAAAGCATGAGTCGGAAAGGTACGTACGTCTATAAATTCGGTGTTTGCGACTTTGTGATGGAAATGTTTTAGCGGCGTGGTTTTG